CGAACTGTTGTCAGCCATGTGAGAGTTCGTCACCTTAACCACCATGCCAACAGGTTGGTTATGCCAGATTCTTGAGGGGTGATGTGATGCGTAGTGATGAGTGTAACTTATTTAGTTTTGCTGTAGGGTGTATGTGCTCACTGGAGGGAGATGGGGAGAGAGAGAGAAAAAAAAAGAAAGTGAGAAATCACCCCCCCAGGGGATAGCTGTACCCCAATTCCTTCTCCATTCTCCTGCTAGGACTTTAGGCATGCATACACATGCATCTGGCATGTTTTCAAGCCGCTGGGTCCAGGACTTGAACTGTGTAGTCAGCCATGTAGAATCCAACCACCTTAACTTCTGTGCCATTGCTCACTCTTACCTTTAAATGCACTGGAAAAAATCAGATGGTGGCTCGCCCCATTGCCTAATGATTAAAGGAGCTTTATCCTACATGGTTGATCATGGTTTATTCCCAGCCTTAGAGGGAAAAACACACTGGATGCATTCCCCAAATCATGACAGGATGGAGAAATGGAGAAGAAGGGATGTGGCCTGACCATGTCCCACCAGGGGTGCTTTCTCCTCCGGTCTGCTAAATGCATGTACCCTCTGGCAATTAAAAAAGGACAAATTAAAAAATTAGATGGATTGGTGGATAGTAAAAGGATATGTGGTAAAGTAAATATTTTATACACTTGGATGCAGGTGGTAGTGCAGTGATCTACAATGCTAGAAGCAACATGGCAGGCCACAGGTTTGGATCCTGAGTCAATCTGAAACATGCTGGATACATGCATACCCAAGATACTGAGTAGCTAGAAGAACTGGGGAAGAGGGACTGTGGAGTGACAAGACCCTGATGGGGGTACACTTGTGTGCACGCTCTCTCTCTCTCTTTCATACTCTCTTTCATAAAATAAATAAGTAAACTTATTTACTTATTTATTAGGTAAGTAATATGTACACACATATATAACAAGCTTGTAGATGTTTTTATGGGTGTTCATTATATAATTCTTTCAACTTTTTTATTTTGGAAAAGTTTCATAATGAAATGTGGAAAGAAAAGGCCTCAAAGGGGTTCTGACCACATATCACCTGTGCTATTTGTGGGGGTTTTACTTTATTCCAATTGTATTCTGTTTTTTTAAATTTAATTTAATTTAATTTAATTTAATTTAATTTATTCATTTATTTTTTTAACAGAGGGTGAGAGTGAGAGAGAGAGGAAGGGAGAAAGCAAGCCACCAGATTCAGGACTCGAACCCTGGTCAGCCATGTGGGAGTGTCCAGTGCCTTAACCACCATGCCACCTGCTGGTCCCTGTGTTCTGTTTTCTTAATTGCCAGAGGGTACATACAGGTGCAGAGAGAGACAGAGAGGGAAAAAGCACCTCCCTAATGGGGCGTGGTCACACCATAATCCCTTCTCTTCCATTTCAACATCCTGTTGGGATTTTAGGTATGTACGCATGCATGCACGCATGCACATGCACCTGGTGTGTTTTCATGCTGCTAGGGCAGGGATTTGAACTGTGATTGGCTATGTACAATACTAATCAGTAGACTACAGGGCCAGCCCCAGTTGTATTATTTTTAAATAAATATTTTTAATCTTATCTATATTTTCTAATTTATAATTTCTTTGCAGTAAACAAGTGTTGCTTTTGATTTTTAAGAGCCACAATAATGTTTTGGTCATCCATGCTGAAATATATAGGGGTGAAGTGTCATGATATTTGTAATTTACTTTAAAATAGTGGGGCAAAAGATATATAGTAAGATATAAATAGCTTCTGACCCTTAATTCAGTGGTTCTAAACCCTGGTGCACACATTAAAATCATCTGGAAGTTGGGGCCAGCAGGTGGTGTGGTGGTTGGGGCACTGGACTCCCACATGGCCGACTGTGGTTCAGTCCTGGACTAGGCGGCTTTCTTTCTCACTTTCCCTATAGCACAGGTGTCCTATAGCAAATTTAAAAAAAAATAAATAATTCTGTAAAAAAGAATAAATCACCTGGGAGCTTTTAAGAACTCCCTATCTTGAGACCAGCAAATGGTGTAATGGTTACGTCACTGTACTCCCACGTAGTCAACAGCGGTTTGAGTTCCAGACCTGGTGGCTTGAAACACTCTGGGCACATGTGTGTTTGTGCTCAAGACCCCGAGAGGAGAACAGAGAAGAGATTGTGGCATGCCATCCCTCCTGGGGGGTGATTTCTCCCATTCTTTCTATCTCTCTGTGATGAACACACGTGCCCTATAGCAAAAATCTAAAAACAAAACAAAACTCTCCATCTTCAGGCTATACCCTGGACCAATTAAATCAGAATCTGGAGGTGGGCCCCAGGCATCAGTATTTTTTAAAAGCTCCTCAGCTGATTCCAAGGGTCATCAAGATTGAGAATCAGTTGTCTAAGTTGCTGGTATATTGTGGGCTTGTTGTAGTTGTTTGAAGTCTTTCATTAAAAAAATTTTTTAATGGCAGTTAAGTGATTGCAAAGCAAATTCTCTATTCCTTCCTGCTGCCATTAGGAGGAAACCCTATACTGTTCAGCGGCCCCTTTAGGGCCCAGCATTCCTCTGCAGCCCCCTCCCTCTCTGTTGACCATGTGTCTACATCATGTCCTTGTCACTTCCCCGGATGTTCTGGGCATCTGCTTTGTTTTTCTTTCCTTGCTGCCAGCCTCTATGCAGCTCCTTCAGTCTCCTAGAGCTTCAAGGCCCAACTCCCAGCTAACTTCACCCACAAGGGACAAAACATTCATCTCCTCTTGCCTCCATGCAGTCCCAGCCAGTGATTTCTCACTTCCTCACAACCTGTCAGAGCATGTGATCTATTGATGTGCATCCATTCTCTGGCACTGACTATGACTTTGATATCCTTTCACTTGGGCCCTCAGATGGCAGCAGGGACAATGGTTAGAAGCATGGATTCTGGAGCCAGATGGCCTAAGGTTCAGTCCCATCTCTGCTCCTTTCTAGCTGTGGGATCCTGGACAAGTTGAATAACTATTCTTTGCCTGGTTCCTCATCTGTAAAATGCATGGTAAAAGTAGTTATTTCAAGGGTTTTTGTAAGATTACAACAAGATGATTTAAACTTATTTAGGGTAAAATTAACTTAAAACAGTAGTTGGCATACGAGAAAGTCTTCATGAAATATGAGCTCTTATTATTGTTGAAGTGGAGGATGGATATGAAACTATCTCTGCTAAATAACTAGACATCCTACCCAGCCTAATATTAAAAAAAAAATTATTGAGCTCACCAGGTGGCATAGTGGTTAAGAAGCGGACTCCCACATGACCAACCACAGTTCGAGTCCCAGATGTGATGGCTTGCCAGGCATGTGTGTGTGCATGCCCAGAATCCTGAGAATGCTGGACAAGTAATTGTGGCATGGTCATTCTCTGTGGGGAGCAATTTCTCAATTTCCCTCTCACTGTCTCTCTATCCTTCTGTTTCTCTGTTTCTAGGGAACACAAGTGCCCTTTGGCAAAAACCTAAAAAAAAACACAATTTATTATGAAAAATTTTAAGCACACAGTATATATATATGTATGTATACAAACTTACAAATGTGTGTATGTACCTATACATGTATTTGAGAGGTGATGAAGCATTTTAAAATAAATTACAGACATGATACTAAATCTTCAGCATACATCTCTAAAATAAAAGTCCATTCTCCTTTGTAACCACCATGCCATTCTTATTATCATTCATCTTATTATTTTTGTTTTGGAGATTTTTGCCATAGGGTGCATATAACTTACAAATGTGTGTATGTACCTATACATGTATTTGAGAGGTGATGAAGCATTTTAAAATAAATTACAGACATGATACTAAATCTTCAGCATACATCTCTAAAATAAAAGTCCATTCTCCTTTGTAACCACCATGCCATTCTTATTATCATTCATCTTATTATTTTTGTTTTGGAGATTTTTGCCATAGGGTGCATATGCTCATCAGAGAGAGAGACAGAGACAGAGATAGTGAGAGTGAAAGTGAGAAGTCACCCACAAGAGCAGATGGCCATGATACAAACGCTTCTCCATTTTCCCCCTGGGATCTTGGGAATGCATGTACACACACCAGATGTGATTTTCAAGCCATCAGGTCTGGGACTCGAACCATAGTTGGCCATGTGCAAGTCCAGTGATGTAACAACTATGCCATCTACTGGCTGCACCACTATGCCATTATTATGCCTAAGAAAGTTGGGAATATTTCTCCAATATCTAATATCTAGTTCACATTCAAATTTTCCCTTTGTCCCACAAATGTCTTTTAGGACTGCTTTTCCTCTGATCAGGCTCCATTACCATGGACCAAGTATTTCATTTGGTTGTTATTTCTCTTAAATCTTTAAATCTATAATAAACTATTTGATGTTATTTGTTTTAGGATTAATATCCTACTCGTCTTTCTCCCCTAAAAAAATTCATCAGAGGAAATTATTGTTTTTATCAGGGAGAGATTTATTTTTTTAAAGGGAGATTTATTTTTCTTTAGGGCGCATGCGCTCGTTGAAGGGATAGAGACAGAAAGCGAGAAATCACCCCCCCCCCAGGGTGATTTCTCATCCCCCAGGGGGGATGACCACTCTGCAGTCCCTTCTCCTTCATTCTCCTCTAGGGATTTTGGGCATGCACACACATGTGCCCGGTGTGAGTTTCAAGCTGCTGGATCTGGGACTCAAACTGCAGTCAACCATGTGGGAATCCAGCCACCTAACCATTACACCACTGTTGATCCCAAATCATGAAGAGCTTTCTCCAAAGGCCTTTCTGGCAAGAGTACTGCCTTTGCCCACTTCACTAAATTCTCGCTCTGAGCCTAAATGGCAGCTAGCCCCCTGGGATCACCCCCATGGCTAAAGAGCAAGACCACATCTTTTGGAAAATGTGCTTGCCCTTTCTCTGGAATAATCTCTGGGCCTGAAATGGTTCAGCATATCTGAAAGAAAGAGAGGGCTGAAGGGAAGGCATAGGCAAGGGCCAGTACCTGGCTTGGAGCTCCAGGGAGCGCTGCTTTCCTGACACTAGGAAGGTCCGAGGCAAGTTGAGGTTGGAGCTCTCTTTTAGCTGAATAGAAGGAAAAAGAGGCATGGTGAAGCCTCCCAAGCTCCACAGACCCCAACCGTCTGCACACATTCACACACAGACTTGGGCTCCAAGCCAGCATGCCTCCCATCACCACTGTCCCACTCCAGGTTGCCATTTCCCACCTCATGGTGCTCACCTCCATGCCATCTACATCAATGCGTGCCCGCACACTAAACTTCTGGCCAAGGAGCCGCAGCCTGGGCACACAGTAAAGGAGGCGGTCGTTGAACTAGAAAGAAAAGGTTGGTATTATGTATGTTAAAGATCTATTTATAGTGAGGGTGTGGTCCAGGCTCCTACCCTATGGGACTCCTGGAGCTTTACTGCTGAGTACTCAAGGCAATAGATGGAGAAAACACAGCCTAGTTTGGGCACAGGATCACA